GGACTAGCTCCTCGCCTTCTGCTCCTGACATTTGAATTACCTTTCACACGACACCCGTGTATCAGGTTAATTGGGGACTCTAAATTGCCCGTAGGTGTGAATGTGAGTGTGAATGGTCGTGTGTCTCTGTGTTTGCCCTGCGATTGGCTGGCGACCAGTCCACGGTGTACCCTGTCTCTCCCCCGAAGTTGGCTGGGATATTCAATTCAATTCAATTCATTTTATTTTGTATAGCCCAAAATCACAAATTACAAATTTGCCTCAGAGGGCTTTGCAGTCTGTACACGTACGACATCCTCTGTCCCGAAACCCACCATCAGCACAGGAAAAACTGCCCAAAAGATGAAAAAAACCCTCCAAGAGGGAAACAAAGAGAAGAAAACTTAGTGAGAACGTAGAGGAGGGATCCCACTCCCGGGATGGACAGACTACAATGGATGCCATGTGTACAGAATGAACAATGTATAATATATGCAATTCCTATGACAGAAATGATTCAAGTAATTGTGAGTAGTAAGCCAGGCGCACAGCAGGACCACTGCAGGGGCAACCACCATCAGATAGTAGACTCCAGCCCCCCCGCGACCCTGTGTGCAGGATAAGCGGTTTGACAATGGATGGACGACACTCGTGTAGTCTGCTCTCTGTTCTGTTGTCTACTGTCTACTAATACCAAGTCCACTGCAGAGGCTGCCGCTGCACGTTGCGCACATGAGTTCAATGTAACTTGGATTTTGAAACTCTCGGTCAATATCAGTTGTGCTATCAAGTATTACATGCATGGATTTCGGTTGATTACATTACATTAACTACAATCATAGCTGTGCATTAGTATTAGTCTATTTGTTACAGTTTTAAAATTACAGTGGTGTTAAACTATTCTCATTTATTTATTGATTACATAGTTTCAGAATCATGGCTGTATCCTGGTGTACACTAAATCCATTTTACAAATCATTAATTCATGAACCGGGTCGTCAGTTTATTTCTAATAATCTACAACTGTATTGAAGAAACTAGAAATTGATAAACTTTCAATGTTTACTGGGAGAATAAATCAAGTGAGAAGTAGTCATTTTATAGCTTCATAGCTGCATGGATGCAATATAAGCTATTTAAAATTCACTCAGTGGGCTACTTTGTTTATTAATGGTTAAACAAATATTAAGCAATAGACTATGCAATATAATACAGTGGCATGTACATTTTATTTTAGATTTTCTACCTTAACAAGTGACAGCTCAGGGTGTTTTTAATCCATCATGGGTCTTGGCAATGGAGATGGTGTGTTAGGGATATATGTTCTCCCACATGTGTGCAGTTCGTGCTAAAACAAATTAGCCATCCCGTTTGGAGCCTCCACCCGCCCTTTTTTCTCCTGGAGCTGAAGGTGTTTTAACTCTGACAAGACATGACCCCGCCAGGGTTCACTGCACACCTCCAATGACCCAAGGAAAGGGAACATCCTTCATCTGGGGGGGTTAAACCCTGATAGTATGGCCTCCATCAACAGCCATTAAAAGCCCCACAATGCCGCCCCATCACCTCTCCATTAAATGTAAATTTTAAGACCGCTTCAGCTCTGCGCAACCCTCCAATGAATTATTCACTCAGAATGGCACAGGCCTCTGGATAAATGCCCCAGCCCCTCCCCTCCCCTCCCCCAACACCCTTCTTATCTTTGCACACTATCTTTTCTCAGACGCGGACTACAGTTGGAGTTTATAAATTGTCACCCCATTCACACCATAAATCACTCTCTTTACATACAGTCTCTGGCACCAATTAAAACACCTAATGAATTTTGTTGAAAGTGGCTGAAGCATTGGAGGAGGAGTCCAAAAGAGAATAATTCATGTTTTCCTTACACGATAGCATACGGAAAGAGCCCCTACGGCGAGAAGGTGACGCCTTTTTCATTTGTTTTTTTAATGCCGAGGAAGAGAAATTAAATCAGCAGAGAGGTCTGCATGAAAAGGAGGGAAGAAAGTGGGAAATAAAGACATCAAAGAGCCTTCAGTTCAAAGAGAGCGCAGCCCTCGCTGGCCCGTAGAGAGCTCTGCTCAGGACGGCGTTGGACAAACAGAGGCTCATCACTGTCTTCCGACTAAAACCTACCGCTAGTGGCGTGAATCCACTAATCTGACTGCCAAAATGATTAATAAGAGTTGGTAGGGAGAACAAGTTCTCCAAAACCTCAACTGATGGTTGTTATTAGTCCCGCTAGAGGAGAGGTTTTGTTCAGTAAATCTTGCGTTCTCATCCACTTTGTTGATATCTAAATATTAAGCCACAGCGTTTGAAAAACAACTAAGACACGCTTTCTGTACTCCAAGAAACTCTGACAACAGGTCACATGACGCGTGACAAGAATGTCACGTATTTCGTTAATTATGGCAATTTCAGACAAACGTCTGGTCATATAAAATGACGACGTAGTGACATTTTGGACAGGGATGGATGCAAATGCAACCTGACTGCCAGAGGCATGTAACCGTGGGGCGGGTGGTCTATAAAATGTCACAAAATGGTGCCTGAGAGACTTAATGATATGAAAAGGTGATGTTTCAATAGATGATGTTGGATTGCATTGTTCGATGTGAGCTTTTTTATTTTACTGTGGCTCAGTGGTGGCACTAGACAATAAAGCAGAAAACCTCATCCTCTGGGGAACATGAATGCCCATCACCGATACTGATACTGCGTGCTGGAGTTGCTGGTTTGGTTAGTTCTTTGCACTCTTCAGCATCTTGTATCCGGCTACTCATTAGATTAGGGTGTGATTATACCATCTCAGAGCGGCTCGTTGTCTGTCGGCAGGACAGGGGAGTGAGATTGTCCTCCGTGACCCCCCACATGGAAAAGGAGGAAGCCTCCTCGTTCATCATCCTGCAGTCAGATGAGGACACTGAGACAGAAGGAAAGGGACATGGGAGGGAGATATATTTCTCAAGTGACACGTTTTGAGGACAGACTGGCTGAAGGCCGAACCGACTCTGTCTTCAGACAGATTTATGGCCCGTTTTTTTTTCTCCGGGAACCCGCGCCGGTATTTTTGTCCTTGTTTATGCAGAGAAACAATTGGATGGCGTTAATTCCTCTATGAGCGAGAAACATCAAGGGTAATCTTGTCACCAGGCTGCGATGCAACATTTCTCAAATTTGAGGAAAGACCATCCCAATTTAGTCATGGATAAACTGCTGAGAAAATATTTCAGGATGTTTTTTTACAGACTAGTCTAGAGCAGTGTTGGCGTGCAAGATATGTGCAATGACGGAAAGGATTATCAAGGTCAATTAATAAAAGGGCGAATAATGTTAGTTACAAAATAATAGGGGTATAACGATTCATTCACTGAATCGATTAATCGATTTATATTCCTGCGATTCAACTGAATCGATCTGTGCTCCGCAAATCGGCATTCCGGACGACATATATCGATTACAAATCGATTGAAATGGTACATAATCGGTTGTATCGATACTTGGAAACTGCACATTGGATTTAAGTACAAAAACTGTATGGATGTGTGTGTGTGTTTGTTTGTTTGTTTCTTAGCACTTTAGACACGTTACTCGATTCAGTCTGCCTGTCTGTGACGTCATCAGTGCGCAGCGGCAGCCGCGCGAAACTCTGAACAACAACAAAACACAGCGTGGAGGAGACGACTGCGAGCGAGACATTTACAAACCAACTTATCGATCCAGCTCGTGGAAACATTTTGGCTTTTGCAAACACGGAGGTGTTCTAAATAAGTTGGTCGCTGTTTGTAGAATATGTAGAAGCCAAATAAAAAACCACGGAAACACGACGAATCTTTCCGGCCATCTACTAAGGCGCCGTGGGATTAAACAATGGCGACAGTCAGGACCTCTAGCAGCGTTACCGCTGCAGCAGCAGCAGAACTCAGCTCTGCAGACACCTCAGGCCTCGCCAGCACCAAACTCAACATCACAGTAACAATTGCCAAGTTTAGCTGTAAAGACATGCGACCCTGTGGTTGAATGTGGTTGAAAATCCGGGGTTCTGTGAATTGATCCAAACATTGTGTAATTATTGTGTAATGTTTACATTGAAAATAGCACTTGATTCAAATAAAAGGTTAATACATTTAATTAATTAATAATACCATTAATTGTTGTTTGCTTGTTTATAATATCCATAATTAATTTAAACCTGATTTCCTTACAAGAAACAACAGGGATCTCAGAAACTTTGCCTGCACTGTCCAGTAAAGGTCCTGAATCGTTTTCAAGTCACTGAATCAAATCGAATCGAATCGTTCTAAATTAACCCAGATTGTCCATGAATCAAATCGGCAACCATGAATCGCGATTCGAATCGGATTGTTGTTAAAATGAATCGCTACACCCCTACAAAATAATAATAATAATCTTCACGTACGTTTAACACTGTTTAACACGGGGTTCACTGATGGCTCCAGCTTTGGTCGCTCCAGCTTTGGTTGCTCCAGCTTTGGTTGCTCCATCCACCCCCTTTAAGGAGGACATGGCTCACGTGGGTTTCATCCCTTTAAAAAAAAAAACAGCCCCCAGGGCGAAGAAAGGGGGCCTGAACCTGTTGCTTCATGTCCAATGCCAGAGAACTTGTACATCAGTGGAGATTACGGGGGATGATTTCTCTGCACAGTAAGGAATAGTTCAATGGTTCGTGCTAAAATTGTTCATATTAAAATTGACCACCGACACTTGTTGAGCATATTTATGCAGGGACACAAGCCGCGGGTGTCAGGCCTTAAACTCAAGTCCCTGGCTCCCTGACCACAGTCAACTGTATAGAGAGCAGTGAAGGGGGAGGGACTTGGATCCGATCGGCCCAATCGATCCACTCATCCAGCTCATAGCACATACGTTTAATTCATTGCCTGCATTAATTTTTCTTTTTTTTAAATATCTCTCCGTCCCTTCATCACACCTGGTCTAACTGGTGCCTTTTATAAACCAACCCTGGTGTACTTCCCTCTTCCTGTTGTCCACAGATTATAGATAATGGGCTGTGTGCAATGCAAGGATAAGGAAGTAACCAAGCTCACGGACAACCGAGACACCAGCATCTCCCAGGGACCAGGCTACCACTATCGGCCAAACCCCATGCCGCAGCACTGCCCCAGCTTTGCGGAAGCCGCCATCCCCAACTACAACAACTTCCATGCCCCCGTCGGACAGGTGATGAACGTCTTCGGTGGGACCCTAAGGAACCGTGGGGGGACAGGTGAGGGATGTTCACAGCTCGTTAAGGAGAGGGGGTGACGATGATCTGCTGACGGCTTATTTTAGATGTGTATTTATTTATTTTTCATTAAATGAAAGAAATATCTGCAACATAGATAACCGCAAAATCAAAAGTGAGCTGTGGTCAGGCCGCTCGAGAGAGTACAATCAGCACTTCAGAAAGAACAATGGAAAACGAAGTAGTTCAGACAAAGACTATTTCACTGTCCCTCGTTTTGTCAGGACATGGAAAATCTCTGCAGGAGTGACTGGAGAATAAAGGTCATTTCATTCCACGTCCTGGCACACACACACAGGCACCTCAGTTTGCAAAAACTCATTAGAGTGCTTTTTGCAGTTAAAGACTTGCAAAATCCCAACCTCAGGATTGGCCCGTCAGGAACGTCCGGCTGCTGTTAGCGCCGGGCCTTTGTTTCTGTAGGCAAATATTCCTACTCAGGATCTCCTTTCTGCTTTTACTGAGCCCCGGCCGCCTGTAGAGGAACGCTGCGTTTCTATTTGACCAAGCAGGAGTCCTCTCCCTCAAGAGTGCGGATTATTTTCCATGCTACATAATCCAAATCCACTCGGCGTGTAGGGGAGCGTAGAGAGGTTTTAGCTCTTTTTAATTTTCTCTTGGGGGTCGACATAAGCCGGCCCTTCCTGCTCAACCCCTGTTATAACAGAGCTGCCCTCCCACCCTCTTACCATCTTTTGCACTGCAGACGTGTTGGCATCGGGGAATTTTATTGATTATCAGTTGATCTTTTGCTGATGTCTGTTGCTTAAAATGGAAATGCACAGCTGGTCATGTGATCTCTCTGTAATTCATTGAGTGGGATCGTTGCAGACAGCTCCAGGGGAAACTCAATACACCAGTTTATACCCAGCGCCCCCCTCAGCTTACCCAATGGACTCATCAACCTGGGCAGAACCACAGCAGCATGCATTCAGGGACTTTTTGGCATTTCAATCATACACTCCCTTTAAACAGTCTGCCGGCAAGAGACACACACACACACACATCCTCTCTTCGCATCACACTGTTTCCCGGAAAGCTGTGTCCCATGAGAGTGTCTGAGGTAAGGTGAAGTGAAGGGACTGGAGTGAGAGAACAAAAAAATGTGATCAAGAGAGCTTAAGTGGACTTTGAAGAAGTGACTTCCATTCGTCAAACTCTCAGAGGCATGAAGCGGCTGAATGGCTACTGTCGCCTCAGACCTGTTATGAGGCAAGAAACATCAAACAAAGGCTCTGAGCAATGGTGTTTCAAAGACAAACTCTGATTCAAGTTCATGATAATTTTTTATCATTTCATCACGTTTAATCACTTAGTGCAGCCGACTCACTAAATCAACCGTTGAAATATAGTAATGAGTCCAACTGTGTGTATGCTCGTGCGTGTTGTTCTTGTTTTTTCAGTGACGCAGGTCGGTGCTTACAGTCAGGGCTCAACAATAACTGTGCTTTTGTCCTGGTGTCGATAGTATTTCGGACACGGTAAACTCACTGTTGGCGATCAAAACATATCTTCTCCCTCAGTAAGTGTTGTTGTTTTTTCAGCAATGTCCTTTTTGGCCAAATAAAGAAGATAGCAGTTATCATAAAATGGGGATGTGGCATAGATTTCCACGATGCGTTCAAGCTCTTTCAGTGAATATTAACATTAGGCGAAGTGACATTAACATTAGATGACAAAAGTGATCATGGCGTGTTCAAATCTTTTGAATATATGGTTAGGTCATAATTTATGACCTAACTGACTTTCCTTCAAAAAACAAAACAAAAAAATGTCAACGTCAGTTCATATAATTTTTTACCCATATTACGACCACAAAGTGTGCCACCACAAATATAAAATAGTGATGATTTCAGAAGCGCTGCAGTATTGGATCCTAGTTTTATCGAAATTGTACAAAAGAAATTAGATTCCAGTAGTCGTGGAGATGATGGAATGACTGAGAAGGGTTTTCAGGCTGCTGGTTTTTATCCAGTGAGGTTTTAATTCTGCCTCATGGGAGTCAAACTGGACTAACATCCACATTTCTGACGGTTCACGCATTCTGCTTCAGACCGGCATTCCGATGCCCCCGACACTTGGGGGTGGGGATTTAGCTGATTAAGAGAAACACAACCGAAGAGCTCGCTGTCTTATTCCGCTGTTAGAAAGTCAATCCATTGACGGAGGGAGCTCTATAGCTACTATATAACCCTGTCACCCCAATTAAAAGTAGGAGGGAGGGAATGACTCATTTTTGGCAGATTTTACATGTTGTGTTCACTCCATTGAGAGAGATCCTATTATTTGGTTTTGATTGTCCCCGAGGATCCTGTTACTATATATTGTCGCTAAATGTTTCCCTCTGTTGTTTCTCTGTCGTCCTAATCCTAATTATGGACTTTTTGTTATATTTACGTTCTACCCAGCTGCCCTAAAAGGTCAGGTTAACAGTTTGAGTTTTTCTTCATTTGTATTGTTAACCTCTGGCTGTGATCTGGGAACACATGCTGCAACCAGCCCGGGTCTTTGCAGTGAGCGAGCAATACCCAGGAGTGTGTGCAGTCATTCCCACAACAAAAGTGGCGAGGTATTCAAATGAGAGCTACTATTCTGCGCCGGGGGGGAAAAATTAGTTGGATCAATAGAGGGAGCTATGGGAGAGGGGATAAGACTCAGGAGGGAGGAGAAGGTGACTTAAGGTAGCTTTGTGAGAATTATTGTGCAGTAGTTATTCTTCCATTAGAAAGCAGGTTCAACCATCGCAAAGTACCGGCGTAGGACTTTGAGCAAAGCTGATATATCAGGAATGAGACAATTTTGCCCCTAATTCACTGCCCCTGATCACCATCAGCTGCTTTTGTTTTTTCTTCATATATGCTTGTTTGGGGCCAATGGGCCCCCCCAACCTCTGATCAACGGCCTCCGATGAGACTTAAAAAAAAAGGAAATTTGTCTATACTTTTTGATGTGTTGATGAATGACCAATGTGTACGGAGACGGGCAGCTGAGGTAACAATGATAATGTTTTACTGCCACAAATTTCTAAATGTCATCACAATCCAAGCGACATGGTGTCAACAACAAGACCGACTCGCACACCTGTGATTGATCCTTGTTTACTCCGGGCTTCACTCTCCCCTTCCAATCTGACGCTGTGCTTTTCCTCCTGTAGGAGTCACCGTCTTCGTGGCACTTTACGACTACGAGGCACGGACGGAGGACGACCTCAGCTTCAGGAAAGGAGAGAGGTTGCAGATCATCAACAGCACGTAAGTCTGCAGCAGCTGAAAGCCGCATCTTGTACATGGAAAAGAATTGTTTCCACAGGGAGAAATCCTGTTCAGCTGTTATGCAACCTAAACAGCCGAGACACCACCGACTTAATTGATTCAAGTATGAAAGAAAAGTGCAAAGCATTACAGATGGGGTAAAGTTTAGGAGCATCCAGTAACTGGAGCAGCGACTCCAGGCAGCCTTAGGACCCCACACCCACAGTGACGTTGACTGATCTTCCTTTCCAGTACAGCGTGTGTTTGTGCGTGTGTGTGATTTTCAGCTCTCTGACCAGCCTAGCCTCGTCTTGCTGTTTCCCCTTTCTTTCCATCTGCATGAGGCTGCTTTGTTGGGTTTCTGGAGCACTGCAGTGACATGAGGATTGGAGGGGGGGGTCTGTCCACCGACAACCCATTCTCGGTCAGATTATGTGGCGATTGTGCTGCTCTATGCGTCCCTGCAAAGGGACGGGCAGAAACAGCGATTGGATTCCCTTCCCTAACAGGATTGCTAACAGCATTTTGATAATCAAAATAATAAAAAAAAATAATTCACAAAAAGCTTCCCATAAAAAACTATTTATATTACAATTGCGGGGAAAGAAGAGAACTTGTGTCAATTGGCAACCAAGCAATACACTGAATGTGTTGCCATTTATCTCCGTTTGCGGTGTGATTTAAATTACATGGACCCAAGCTGTTGCCTAGCAAAGCAACTCCATTGAATTAATTCAAACTTATTGCTTGTAATGCCAAATGGGAATAGGAATGGGTAATGGGACTAAGCATACAATTTAACGTGAATAAAGTGAGGAATGTAACCATATTATTACATTACATTAATACACAAATAATGAATTAATAAGTGTGAATGATTGTGGTTCTACTCGTATTCAAAATAATGTTTAAATGTGTTTATTTCAATGTAGCCACTGTTATTTCCCTCTAAACAAGCACAGACTGCTTTCACATCAAAATCCAGTGTTCCACATATGAGTGCTGTTAAAGCTCTATTCTGCGCTCTACATGGCTGCTTCATCACCTCAGACTTTGTTGTCCGGCGAGGTCGGCCTTCCTCCTATGACACCCAGTCAGCATCCGGTCTCCTACGTTCCACCACACACCTCGGGGCCCCAGCTGGGTGTCAGCCACTAGCAGGAAGACACCCTCTCGCTCTCCTCTCTCCTCCTGCTCCTCCTTCTCTGCAGGGGCCAGACATCTTCGCCCCCCTTCTCCTCTCTCCTCCATCTCTTCTTCTCCACCTCTGTCGTCGGCCCACGCCTCACTGCAACACTGGGCTTCTTCGAGCTGGCCACGCTGACCCCTACTGGACAAAGATGGAGAAGGGCTGAAAAAAACTACTTTTCAAGCGACTAAGCCATAGAGATCTACCTACATTAAAAATGCTAAATCATTGCCTGCTTACGTACGCAGCAGACCCCACTAAGTTTGAATGAAATTAAATGTCTAAGCAAGAATCCCTAATTACCACTTTTTCCATTAGTTTTCCATTAGCTCCCGCGGTCGACCCCAAGCGTGGTGACCCGGGTTTTGGAACAAGTGATTTTTTTTCAATGCCAGGCGATCTACCGGCACTGCCATGGCGATCGATACACTGGTCGCAATCAACCCCCATTGGGCATCCCTGCGAGCCTTTGCCGGAAGCAGGCGGGAGGGCGTGGGGAAGGGGGCCGCTACGTCGTCCTTCAGTAAGCAGTTCTCCATTACTGAGTGTGTATTGTGACGCTTCATCAGACGTGATCGGAAAGCGGGTTCCTGTTCTTACCGCTTAACGCTTTTCTGACTGAACTGCAGCAACAGACAAAAAAAGCGGCCCCTGACAGTGCTGCACAACAACTCTTCTATGTCGACGCGGCACCCCTGCAGCCGCGTCCAGCAGCCACCACGGGTTCAGATGAGCTAGACATTGTTTACTCTGGTGGCTTTTCGGTCATTTTTGTGGCAGAGCAGTCGGTTGTCCCTAAGCGCCCCCCCCCCCCCCCCCCCCCGTCATGGCTTTATTCAGCACAAATGAAAGGCACTCTCCTCAATGCCCCCCCCCATTCCTCCACTCTCTTTTAGCATCCCTCTTACATCAGGTTTTACTTGCCAGTGAATGAAACCAATAATGCATTTCTCTCTATACTTTCCCATTTACCATCCCTGTCTGTGGCCCCCAAAGTTGCAGTCAAAATATAAATTTTCTTTAAAAATGCTCACAATTATATAGCTCCTTTTTTTTTTTACTCATTCTCGAAAACAGCCGTTCAGCTCGTTTCAGTCACTCAAGAGGATATAATGCGCTGGTTGTTGACTATTATCAGCTGCATATTTATACTTACATTTTGCATATTTGCAGGATCAAGCAAATTTCAGAAAAAGAATTCAATGAAATAGAAAAGAAATAGATGAAGTAGGGGGGAAGATGAGTAGCTTGGGGAACTAACTAATGGACGTGTGGGAGGTCTTGAGAGAGCCTCTTCTCCTCCTCTGTTTCCTTGCAGCTTAGTGTGTGTGGGTTAGGGTTAAAACAGTTCAGCTATATATATAATGGGGGTTTTATTTATTTTTATGACAAACAGTAGTCGGGATGTGGTCTAGTTTAGCATTTAAAAAACAGCTAGCCTCTAGCTAGCAAACGTCTTTTTCTTAAAATGCATTCATTTTGTTGAAACTTTTCATCTCCAACTTTTTTTTAAATGATTTCCCCATTGAACTGACAAGTACAGAGAACAAAGTACAGAGCTGGAGTAAGTGTCTGTTTACCGTAGCTTAGCATGAAGACTGGAAGCATGGGTTAACCGCTAGCTTGGCTCTGCCCAAAATGCATCCTGCCTCTGGTAAATTCTCAGGTTGTTCCCATTTTATTTTAGCCAATAAACAAAAGGGCCGTGCCTGATCATATGAAATGAAGTTTATGAATGTACTTCTACTTTCTTCTTTTGTTTTTCCCTCATCTCCTCCAACTCCTCTCTCTCGTTCAGCGAAGGGGACTGGTGGGATGCTCGCTCGATCACCACCGGTGGCTGTGGCTACATTCCCAGTAACTATGTGGCTCCAGTGGATTCCATCCAGGCAGAGGAGTAAGTTGTGTTGTGTGTGTGTGTGTGTGTGTGTGTGTGTGTGTGTGTGTGTGTGTGTGTGTGTGTAAGCCACAGTACACTGGTCCAGGACAAGGGAATTCCATTTACAATGTGCTCTGTAGAGTAGTTCTGGGTTATTAAACGCAGGGCCTGCAGACTTTACTTGCATACGATGATGAGGATAAGTATTTTTTATCTTCTTCATAGCTGTAAAATTATACTAAAGGACCATCTCAGTAACTGTTGTACATAAATATCAGGGAGCAGGAAACACACTTGATTTGTTTTTTCAGGGCTTTCAGGTAACTACCTTAACAAAGTTACTGTACACCATTTAGCCTCATTAATGTGTGTGTCTGTGGGCAGGGGGAAAATCCGTTTGGCCTCATTAACTAATGGTCACTGGTACTGTGTAGGGTTGAGTTAACACGCTCTCTTCTGCGATCACAGCTGGTACTTTGGTAAACTGGGTCGTAAGGATGCGGAGAGGCAACTGCAGTCCACCGGCAACCCTCGAGGAACCTATCTCATCCGGGAGAGTGAAACCACCAAGGGTAACACCACTCAGACGCGCAGGGCGATGTGTGTTTGTGCCGTCAAAGATCAACTGCCCCTGTGGAGAAAAAAAACACAGAGTCATAATGCTCTTTGAGTAGCAGCCGAATTGTTGAGTCCTTCGAGCACTGAATGCTGATTTAGATGTCTTGTCAAATCATATGTTGATTTGATTTTTTGCCGATTTGTACCATTGACTAGTTTGGGATGTTTACTGACACCAACCTGGTACTGTGTGACACCCCCAGGTGCCTTCTCCTTGTCCATACGGGACTGGGACGACGTGAAAGGTGACCACGTCAAGCATTATAAGATCCGCAAACTGGACAGTGGAGGCTACTACATCACCACACGGGCTCAATTTGACACGCTGCAGCAGCTGGTTCAGCACTACTCAGGTAAAAAATCCTGCGCTTAATATGACATTCAGATGGCTTCTGTATCTACATGGAAATTTAAGGATGTGGCAATTTCAGGACATAGTATAGTACTTACAGTAAAGGGTATATATTCCCATTAATGTTAGGACTAGAAAGTAGCCAGTTTAGTATTTCTAGTAATTTTAGAACGTATTCCTGTTGTGTAATACCATTGACTTTAGGACTTATCCTCATTCAATTAAAAAAATAAAAAAATATTATATATATTATATATATTTAATTTGGACATTGTTCAGAGCAAGAACGTGTTCACATTAAACATGTCCATATTTTTTAGCCTATGTTCTTGTGAATTTAGGGACCTCTGTTTATTGTCATTCACTTTAGGACTTATCCTTTTTAAAGAAAAAAGAAAAGAAAAAAAAAAATAAGCAAATGCATGCCTCATTTTTATTTTGGATGGAAGAAGACAAAAACTACAGCTGAGATATACATAAAGGAAGAGTAAATATATGAGCATAAAGATACAGACATCATGTCTAGAGGGTTGAACTGCATCACTGTTCCTCAAAATAAAGTTATTGCACAGTGCAGCTTATAACCTACAGCACCGAAGCAATATGGCATGTAAATTAGCCTGAAAACCATCTAGACAGATGTTGCCATGGAGAGATGCACTGTGATGGAGACCAAGGCCCCATTTGCACAAGCCCAAATAGTAACGTCAAAGACTTCTCCTCTGCCCAGTGTCCAATTCCCTAAGTGGATCCATCAAGCAGACACTGTTACACTCTAATTTTTTGACAGAGAGGAATGAAAGGGGGCACTCGTCGCGAGTAGAAAGAAGTGGAAACTTCACGTTGAATGGAAACACGTCAAATTCATTCAATTTTTTACTTTACCTGTGTCATTTGTTTATATAGATTGATATTCGGCACAGCAGAGAAACAAAACTTATGATGCCATCGTGGAAAGCCACTTACTCAGCAGTATTTCTGAGCTCTGACTCTGTTTGCATTATCCAGATGTGTGCATTGAGCTTGTTGCCGCAGCGTCTTTGTCACTGACACACATATTTGGAAATCCCATTGACACGACAAGATGGTTTTTATTGCTCTTAATTGTTTTTTCTCTCTCTATATTCACTTTGCTTTCTTACTTGATTCTTATACTGTGCGTCTACGATGATGTGCTTCTGTGTTGTGATTATTCACCATGTTCCACTGCTCTCATCCTCGGAGTCCCTCTCACTGAGATGGCGCTCAATGCGCTCTGATTGGCTTATTGATGTATCAACACCATGTTTTTTCTGTGGTTTTATGTCATGGAGCATTAACTGCCAGTCTACATCATCACAATTTATTCATCAGCATACCAGATGACGTATGGGCCGAGGATATGGGCAAATAACTGTGACTATTTTCAAGGCTTTGCTTTTGCTGCTTTCCTCTGTTGTTGTATCTTTAAAGAACCTACCTGGCATCATACAATGTGGCTTTTCTTCATATGCGACTTCAATCGAAAACATCAAGATTAGGAAATATTGGAAAAAGCAAAAAGCCCATTCATCCTCCTACAAATAGGCAATGGTGCAGTCTCAAAATAATGACTAGACTTCAGAGTTTAGTTCAGGAGTAATTCGTAGAAGATGCACATCAAAGCAATGACCTCACAAATATACCAACGTGGAGACAGTGAGTCTTAGTCCTGGTGAAAACTGGTGCAGTCTCTGTCCGTTGAGCCCCTGGTGAAACTACAACTTTTGCGACTCCAGCATTGGAAAGGAAATTAAACCGAAATGGCATGCGGACAAAATCTGGTTCAGCGAGTGAAATAATGGCATCCTGGCTGAATCCTCCCTAAAAAATAAAACAGCATTGCATCCAGAAGAGTAATGGATGGAATTTATATTTATTGTGTGTGTGTGTATGTGTGTGTGTGCGCACACGCACTTTGGTCCACACATCAACAGCTTTTATGGCAGCCTGTGGGGTGAGCATCGAGCCGTATTGACATCCCAGTGCAGCCACCGAGGCAGCAGGCCGGCGGCCCCAGATGGGCTTTGATGGTCAAGTTGCAGGTTCAACCTCCTCGTGGGGGCCTATCTCCGCCTATTTATTTTGCATTTACTGCCTCGTGCAAACAACCTGGGGCCTTATCTCTGGCAGCGGGGGGCGAAGGGTGGGAGCTGGGTCTCGCTAGATGTCAGCACGGAGATACCAACGGAAACTCTGCCTGTAATCCACTGGCTAAATCAATCAGGGGCAAACACGAGAGTTTCCTACAGAGTAAAAGTTGTTTGAGTTCATGACACACAGAGAACATGGCGTCACTGGTTAGAATGACTAACCTTTGGCCGCCGCAGGGGGTCGAAATGGGAGCAGCTGAAGCGCCACTCGGGCCCTTAATGCTTCTCATGAAGCAAGAGTCTCCCGGTGTTTAACCGCAAGTGTGGTGTACATTTACCCAGATGAGCGGTCGACGTGTTTATCGCTTCACTCAATTATCGAATTGTCATTATCGTAAATGCATCTGTTTTACAGCCCAAGCAGTAGAAGGACTATTGAGGAAGCTTAAACAGCTAGCACCAAAATTCTCTTGTTTTTAAATAAAAGCACTTAAGAAAATTTGTATTTTGGCGTCAACAAGGTTGAGTGGCTCCGCTGGGTGTGATGCAAAGACCGTCAAAATCTTTGAATTGAGAATCAGGTGTCCCAAATGTATTGGATCCTACACTTTGTCTGATAAATAAAAAAACACGACTCCATTAAAATAACCCAGGATGACCTCACAAAGGATCATAGAGAACACATTAGACTCCTGAAAGGCCTGACCTGAGAGCAGCTTGATTTTCAGCTGCCTCGTTGTCCTCCTTGTGTCAAGCCCTTGTGTTGCTCACACCCCACCCCCCTGCTCTCCTTGCTGGGCGCTCTGCTAACGCTTTCCACGTCTCTGTCTATGCTCCTATTCGTGCATCCCTGTGCAGACCGAGCCGCCGGGCTCTGCTGTCGCTTGGTGGTTCCCTGCCACAAAGGGATGCCGCGCCTGGCCGACCTGTCCGTTAAAACCAAAGACGTGTGGGAGATCCCGCGGGAGTCGCTGCAGCTCATCAAGCGTCTTGGGAACGGGCAGTTTGGGGAGGTCTGGATGGGTACGGATCCAGTCGCCTCTGGACGATGAGGGCCGCATGGAAGAGGCCGAGCCAGCAGAGTGACTCCAAGCAAATTCTTATCTTAAAGGGGAGGGGATGAAATGAGAAAATAGGGCAGGAAATTACTATAATTCTTAGCTGACCTCTCCCTTCCAAAATGTTAAGTAAAAAACGTCCAACGTGTCAGGAGACTCTGCACTCACAGTCTGGAGATGGCTCCCTTCCATGTCCCTCACTGCATGTTACTCTCCTCAGTAGTTAACCCGTGTGCTTGCCTTCCCTCCCCATGTAGAGAGTGCGGATGGTTTGTGCTTTAATTTAACGGGCGTGTGTGTGAACTTCATCCCTGACACTGTGGGCTTGAGTCATGACGCCTGGGAGATCAGCAGAGCCACACTTGAGTTGGAACTAAAGTTGGGGACGGGATGTTTTGCTGATGTGTTTTACGGTAAGGAGATTCCCACCCTGACCCCCGATTTAAGTCTTTTAAATATTCACCGTGGGCCACCCTGGAAATACAAATCCAAAATCAAACTTGGCTAGCCTCAGATACATACGAATAAAGACTATTTATTTACAACAACATCAAGTTGGTTGTGTCCAAATTACTAGTGTTCGCGTTGTTGCTCCAACGTTAGTCAACGGGAGCTGACTGGCTGAACTCCAACTGAAGACAAATGCTCTTTGTTTGGCTCTAGCTAAAAAATCTGTTTTGTAACTTCCTTTTTTAAATCCTTTGACTTCTTTATGATAAATTATGTATTTTAGTGTTTAATGTCTTTTGACATTACTTTGTTTCTTTGATACATATCTTGTCCTGCTTCTTGACAAACTAGCACAAGAAAACATTGCTTAAAAGCTAGTTATTATTATTCCTCAACACTACTGTTAATAAAACACTGGCATTAGATTGTAAGTTTCTGGTCCAGGTTTATCTACATTCTCTCTCCAGGCTCCTGCTAATCAAACAAAAACAAGAGACCAGGCCCAGTTCTGTAGAAGAGCATTATGTTGCTACGATTTGTAGTATTATTTGTTCTCTACAGTAACTAGCAAAATGTTCACTGACTGCAATAGTTTATTTAGTATTAGTATTAGTATAAATAAATATTATAAATAGTATTATAATAGTATATTATAATAGTATGTATTAAATAATTTCAATATTTGCATTTACCACTTAATTACCTACCTTATTTCATTCTGGCCATGTTGGGCTTCCACACTGCAGAACATTAGGGTGTCCACATGCTTGTCATGTTCCTGCTGGACAGATATTGAGCATTGGGCTTCTCCCGGATGACATCCAGTCTCTGGGGTCCTAATACCACCCAGGGGGCCCTCACCCGTTCAGCTGCATCCTTAATAAAGGCTACCATCCCCAAACACACCAGGACATGTTAGTTGACGGGCCATTCTCTCCCTACTAATATTCCTTTACCCATCACAGAACAAGATCAAGGGAGTATCGCTTCATTGGAGTGATTATCGTGAACCGTAGATCATATTAAGCCCACTCTGACACAGAGGTAGTGCACATTGGTGGTATTGCCGTCCTGTGTTGCAGTAACTGGCACGCAACCCGCAAGGAGCTTACAGGCTTGCCTTTTGTTAATCATCCTTTAAAGGATTATCTGCTCCTGTGTTGGCGTATTGTAGCTTTCCAGGCTCCCGCTGGATCCCTCTCCTGGATTTTAAAAGCCATTTCCAATGAGGTCCAGTCTAAATCTCGTACCCATTAAATTATCCTCCAGCTGTGCATGAGAATCACGTAAGAGCGGATTCTCATGCTGTCTCCTGATCTTATCCTGTGCTGCATGTTTACCACATTGTCATTTCGAAGCAAGGCTCGACCTCTTGGCCGCTGACCTTCTCCCCAAGTTAAACGGCAGGGTCGGCAAGTCTGGCTTCGAAATGATGTGACTTGAATATGAATTGACGTTGCCCCTATGCTGATGCCAGCTTGTGTGCGCCTGTGCCAGGAACGTGGAACGGCACCACCAAGGTGGCGGTGAAGACTCTGAAGCCCGGTACCATGTCCCCCGAATCCTTCCTGGAGGAGGCTCAGATTATGAAGAAACTCCGCCACGACAAGCTGGTGCAGCTCTACGCCGTGGTGTCGGAGGAGCCCATTTACATCGTCACAGAGTACATGGGCCAAGGTAGATGAACACCAGCACAGACACACAACAGGCATGAATACAGCTCTTTGCTAAAGTAACAGACCCGTTACTTTAAACTGTCAAATAAAAACTTGTGAGGTACAAATGCATTTCTTTTGGGCACATTGAGTAAGACCATTGGGGCTGGGATAGATTATATGTAACGGATTTCCCCTTCTGGCCAGCAATAATACAGGGGAAAGCTGATGAAAATGTGCGACATGGAAAAGGTTCATTCAGAGGTTCATTCAGCCTGAATATGCTTCTACTATCTGCACATTAGATGTTCGTGTCGATGGAGATTTTTGACTGATCTTGTCTGTGTGTGTACCGGAATTGGTTCTAGTATATACCCAAGCATATGGCCCTTTTTTACTTGGACCAAATTGTTATTGTTTCAGACCAGTGAGAATAATTGGTATGGTAAACATTAAGAGACTGAAGATAATTAAGGCTTTCAAAACAATCCCTTCAAAAACACTGCAATTTTGAAAAACCTGCAAGAAAGAGCTGTGGACGTCTATTGAGCCCCTGGCAACAGCAGAATGCAAACTCTGCTCATTGCTGTGTCCCATCTGGACCTCTTGAGTTGTGTGAGAATGGATTCCGAGTGGGAAATTCGATGAATGTCTGTGAAAGTATTTGTGATCATCCCCTCTCACTTAGACATGTTTTTGTTAATGGTAGAATTTTAAAGTGAACAGAAAGATGCTGTTCTTATCCAAAGCATTGTAGGATACATCCTGACTTTTTTATGTCTGCTGCAGGAAGCCTGCTGGAATTCTTGAAGGACGGAGAAGGACGAGGGTTGAAGCTGCCTAACCTGGTGGATATGGCGGCCCAGGTATACTTCAAAAAATTAAAACCGTGAGCTTGTTTCCGTTGCATGGCAGTAACAGGAATAGTAGACTCGTTTCTCATCACTAGCTCCCTTAAAACTACTGAAGTACCTCAACTCATTTATTTGAAAAAACCCTAAAATCCAAGGTGACATATCCATGATTATTGTGAAAGGCTAACTGTCCAAAGCCCAAATATTACGAATACTAAATTATATACAACTCATAAAATATCTGGTGATACTTTATATGGTAGTCAACTAATCAGTCAAGTATTTGTTTCATGTCCACCCACAGCAGAATAAATGAAAGAAGAAGTTAGAATGTTGGCACGGAGATTGTGAACTAAATGTTCCCTACGTCAGGACTCGTTAGGTAAAAGTGCTTCGATGTCCTATTAAAAATGTGTTGTGTTTTTTACATTTAGCTGGTTCCAGCTTTTTTAATGTGCATGAAAATTAAAGAATGGAAACAAGGCTTGTGTCGCCTCTAGAACAGAACTGTTGACCTGTGGCAAAAACACTGCTTTTCTGTTTCCTTAATCACCGGTAAACAAAGACAACACAGATATTTTTCATTAAAAGCCAGTCAGTGGACATACTTAACTCGTCTTGTCTTGTTTTCCATCGAAAACATATGAAAAAGAAAGCAGACACAGTTCTACTAATATATTCAGCCAATAGGAAAGCATTCTATTTTCTGCACAAAAACAACAGAGATTTATTATGCCTGCATGTTCAATGGAAAATATCTGTGAGCTATAACTGCCTTCAACTATTTCTAAAGCATACAAGAGGTTTTCATTCATTTAAACTCTCCTCCTGCTCTGCATAATCTCTTGCCTACAGATCTTTCTTTTGGGGGAGTGAATGGATTGAAAGGTTTTCTCTCCCAAACAACATCGATATTATGGAAACTGTTTAGAGGTTACACACAATGTGGTAGGTTTACAGCAGAAACCGTGCTCACCTGAATGTGCTGTGCTGCAGGTGGCGGCTGGCATGGCCTACATCGAGAGAATGAACTACATCCACCGAGACCTGCGCTCCGCCAACATCCTAGTGGGAGACAACCAGGTGTGCAAGATTGCTGACTTCGGCCTGGCGAGGCTCATTGAGGACAACGAATACACGGCTCGGCAGGGTGGGGCTCCCCACACACACACACACACACACACACACACACCCTGTCAAATGCACATGCTCGATGCTCGCATTCACATAACGTGCTACTGAGGTCATGGAGGAATTGCTGTCAGCGGGAAAGGGGACGGACACATTTTTAACAGCATCACATCAAAATGACCCAGAGCAACAGTCAGCTGTGAGCGGTGAGTCTTCTCCAGATGATTTGCTCATTGTTCCAGTGAAATTGAAAGGAGCCGCTCCCTGCTCCACAGAGACAAAGCGCTCAGAAGACAGACATGAATGTTTTTCTACTATTGACTATTCAAGCGATGTGTTTCTGGCCTGATAATCAGACTGAATTAGCTGTTTCCTGTTTAGTGCATCCATGCGTCCATTTGATTGTAATTACTTTCGTATCACTAAGTCGGCTGGTAAAATCTGCAGAGTTGGATGGTTCATTTATGCCGTTGGAAAGGATTCAAGTCCACCGACAGCATTCCTTCAGGGCTTTGCAGCTACATCTCGTGGGCTGTTGTTGTGACAATTCCCCCACGTTGATGGAGAAATGGTGTGTATGTGGCCGTAGAGTCGAAGGTCCCATATGTTGAAAAAACGCAAAAGGTTTTTTTATTGAGAGGGGCGGCTTAAACAGGGAACAAAAAAGGTACATTCAGACAGAAAGATTAAATTCTGCATTAGATTGTGTAGATATTTTCATCTTAAAAAGCCTAACTGCAGGAATGCATCTGAAACTGAGCTAAGATAGTTGTAGTTTGAAGGTTTTTTTATTTCTGTAATGTGACAACCATCACAGCTGCGTCCATCTCGTCCACGCTTGGATTCGGGCTCCCTTTTCATCGATATCCTCTTCAGAAACCTGAACCACAGATTCACTCTTAGGACTTGTTTTGTTTTTCTTCAGATTAAATTGAAAGAAAAGACATTTTGATAAGAATCCAGAGGCTATTTTGGTTGTCATTCTAACTTGGCAGCTTAATTCTTCTTAATTGCCTGGTGTTTGAAGGTTCACTCCCATTCAACCTGTTTGAGTCCAGCCGGGGGCCTTTGCGACAGCACTGAGTTCTGTTTCGTTTTTAGAATCGGGCGTAGTTATCTACCACACATCTTTTTAATCAATATCTGCATTTTTTTTACGGCTGTCAATAGATTAAAAAAAAGAATACAATACAATACCAATGTTCATGGCAATTATTACAAGGAGTCACGTTTCCGGGTTGATACGGCACCTTAGTGGACACAGCTGATACCAGAGTGCCTCTCCTCAACATCACTGATATATTTTTTGGGCATAAATCTGCATCACTGTAGATGAGTTTTTAAGCAAAAATGATGTGCCGTTTCCAGGTCGAGGCCTTTACACTGCGCAGCCACGAAAGATTTTTCACCACCACTTCCTTTCCTCACAGCATCTTACATCTCTGCTCTCCCACAGGCGCAAAGTTCCCCATTAAGTGGACCGCCCCGGAGGCGGCGCTGTACGGGAAGTTCACCATCAAGTCAGACGTGTGGTCGTTCGGCATCTTGTTGACTGAGCTGGTCACAAAGGGCCGGGTACCTTACCCAGGTGAGTGCAAGCTAGGCCGGGCGCAAGCGTAGCTCTTACCTTGACGCCAATTGGGAAACGTCAATAAAGTGGCCTGATAAGAGCAAACCTCTCCTGTGTGTAACCGGGGGGTTGTTATCAAAACAAACACAGCACTTTTTTCTCCCCCATGGCAACAGGCCCTGAAGTTAAATGTTCCTTTAATGCTTGGTAACCTTCCTTTCTCCATCGTTATATTACTCCTTTTTATCACTGCTCGCCTGGGGGACAACTGAATTTTAGGACTTATACCCAAAGCAGGGAGGAAGGTTTTGGCGGACTGTACTCAGAGCACACCTCCATGCATGTAGGGAAACACATATTTGTCCAGGTGGGCCGACAAAAGGTTAGCATGCAGTGAATGAGCAAAGCACGCTAACAGATGAACACATTTGTTAGGACCCCCCACTGTGCATTGTGGTTAACAGACAGACAATAGAAATGCACACTCAAAAACACCCAAAATATCCCTTTTATAAAAATATTTGCACCAAAGCCCAGGCGAGAGTGGCCAGTCTGTTTCAGGGTTAACACCTCCATCCCCTTGTGCATGTGTCTCCCCCCCCCCTCCAGGCATGAACAACCGTGAGGTACTGGAGCAGGTGGAACGGGGCTACAGGATGCCGTGCCCCCAGGACTGCCCCATCTCTCTGCATGAGCTGATGCTGCAGTGCTGGAAGAAGGACGCAGAGGAGCGGCCCACCTTTGAGTACCTGCAAGCCTTCCTGGAGGACTACTTCACGGCCACTGAGCCTCAGTACCAGCCCGGGGACAACCTCTAGACCCCCCTGGGTCCCCCAAGGACTTGGGAGGAGGGCAAAACTGGCCGAATTAGCACTGTTACAAAACTCTGGAGCCTTCCCAGCCAGAACATTTTTTATTTTACAAATCTGTACAGCTTCCTTAATCTCCGAACCCCCTAAAACACAACCCCCTCTGTCTGTGACACGCCCCCTAGTGTCTGGGCCCCAAGTGAGGAGGGAGGCACGGAGTTGACCGGGATCGTGATAATGCAATGTATTCAATGTAAATAAGAAGTTTGTTTAAGTATATTTGTTTGCTTTAAGATTTTTATTTTCATCTGCACAAAAATAATAAGGTTTGAAAATGATGAAGGAAAACACGGAACCGCGTCATAGCAGGTACAGTTCATCTGTGCGTGTATTATAGCATAGCTTCTGTATCATTTTCGAGAGATTGGATTGGAAGCCTCCATATATTTTTTTTCAAATTTGTGTAAAAAAAGAAAAGATTTATGCCAAATTATTTCTTGACTTCTCAGCTCGCAGTGTTCCAGCAACTTAAGGCGAGCTGGACATTGTCCTCCATCAACCTTTTTTTACTTTCTGATTCTGCACCCCACATAGCTTTTTCAGTGGTGTTATGCTGCTGTATGGCTCAGGGTTCTTTTACAAATTATATAAATCATATTTTTTGTGAATTGCAGCCAGAGGGTTTTCAACATCAACCGGTTCGAGCCCCGGCTGCGCCTTGTCCCGTGTCGAAGTGTCCCTACGCAAGACACCTGACAGCGGATGTGTGTCCCCCGCCTCTTCCCCACGTCCTCCCCTATAACCTGCTGAGCGCCAACCTACAGCCAAATCTGGACCACTTTGCTTCGTTCTGCTTCTTTTTGTTTTATCAGTATTTTGGTCTTTTTGTTTTTACAGAGTATGTTTTTATTGGACCTTTTAAAGTGATCCTTGGAGGAGTCCCAACTGTATGTTCAGAGGAAACTCTGGGGACAATTCATTTTGCATTTTTGGATTCAACAAAGCAGATTTTAAGGGTTGACTTTGCAGAAGAAAAACAGTCCAATGAGTCAGATCTGGTCTTAATGCAGATGGTTTTGTGGCCAATGGAATGTATTGTTTAGCTGTACACCTGGTTGTTAATGTTGCTATAACTTCCCTTCTTTATAGCTTTTCTTTTCCATTATTTTAACAAGTTGTTTCGTTGATTTAGTGACTTGGCATTTGGAATTCAGAAAAGAACAATAAACATTTTACACATGCCATGTTTGTCACCTCCATCTATCACATGGTTGTTTGTGTGTGTGTGTGTGTGTGTCCGTGTGTGTGTGCTGCATGCTATCTGAGGTGACTGAGTCAAGATACTACAAAAGGGTAACTCTAGCTATTTAGTATTGCACCTTGGTTTAGTCAGGAGCTTAACAAGAGACACATGCAGCTGGTTTGTTCATAAAAGCTGCCTCCAAAAAAAGTCAATGTTTTTTGGGGGTTTCACTGGGTTGTACACAAATTAAGAGGCGTTACCTTATGTAGGCATGAGCTCAAACTGTGAGTTGTGTTTCAAAGTATATTTTTAGTCTATATACTGTCTTTTTATTACATAAACAATGTAGACTTCCATCAGTTGCATACATTGTCTAATGAATTGGTGTTTTCAAAAAAAACTACGTGAGTGACTGTATCGCGACCCCTAGGCCTCAGAGGTAGGGAGCAAACCTTGGGCATCCCAGTCTTTGACCTTTAAGTGTAATAAATGATAGTTGTGGTAGATTAGTAATCACCCATGCATCAATGCAGTACAGCACTGTACAGCATCATTGTTTACCAACAGCCAGAATAATTTTTCCATTTATGTCATTTTAATGGACCTCTTTTCCTTTTTGTAACACAAACTTTTGAGTGTTTTTTTTCTCTGGCGATCGTTTTTTCATTTTTGAAACTTTGATGTTAGGTTCAGCTGTCCAGAGGAGAAATACACTCAAACTTTTGTCCTCAGGAAAGAATGGATTCTCTGATCGATAATGGGACGGCTTGCTGGCTAAAAGCACAATAAAACTGAAGAGTTTGCTGTGCAAAAAGGATTGCTTTAACCTTAAAGGAGTGTGAAACATCCAAAATAGCTCAAACAACTAGTTAGTTTAGTTGTGTTTTGTTTTGCTATTTAGTGCTTATTGGCCTCTTTTGTTTTGCATCATTAGCTTTATCTCATCATTAGCTGTAGGTCGGGCGGTGCAACTCTCTGCTCTGCAGCAGCAGCTGGAGCTGCCTCATTCACCCGTCCTCATGTCAGTGATAGTCTTGTCCGTAAGGAGACATTACTAGTTGGTATGACCCTCTCATACCAACCTCTATGTGAGACCTTCATAGCAATATAGGACACACCACACGGAGGATCTAACAGGTAAGTCTCATTTTATCCATTGTACTGTTGAACTGTAGTAGTCCACATTGCTTTTGAGCGTTCCTTAATTTCAGAAAAGACTATTAAGGTAAGACAGAGAGCTATAAGGATGTGGTCTGATCAACAGTTGGTCAGTGTACAATTCTTTTTTAGGTAGTTAGAGATCATTAAAAAAAAACTTTGGTACAGCGCTCAGCTACTGCCCGACCTTAAAGTCGATCAGCTTTCATCTGTGCTTATTGTCATCAGCTCAGTTCAACTTTGGAGCCAAATCAGTTTATTTTCTATTATCCCCTCCAAAAATGAGGTGTGCAAACAGCTAAAGAGGCGGGTATAATGGCATCTGACTTACACCCAAAAGTAAATAAAATGTAGATCGTAGCTTAGATCCATATCCAGAAATGAATTAATTCAGCTTTTACAATGTCTCTTGTTCTTCTTGTATACACAATGTACATTTTAGTCATTTCGGTATCAATTGTAATCAGAGCATCACATTCATAAAAAAAACTGACATTTAAAATCATGCGACTTTCACCTTAATACTCTGCAAGGAGTTGAAAGTAATAAAAGCTCCACAGCACAAAGGGTAAAACAGCTCTAATCGGCCACATAACGTGAAAACATAAAGTGTTTGTATGCTGTTACTCCTCCTCCTCCTCTCTAATGGCTTTATTGCAGGTATTAGCATGTTAAATATTATCTGCCTGTGAATGAACGATGGAGGGAGCCGGCGTCACCTTTTTCATCACCCTCCAGAAGATCTACTACCCGCTGCTTTGCCTCATGGGTATTCCAGGTTTGTGTCTTCTCCCCTGTCTTCTTTCATTGTTGGTTAGGCATTGGAGTAATCAGGAAGATCATACGTTTCCAAGTTATTAATGATTATTAATGATATTGTTGAATTAATCCTCTTTTGCGCAATTTGTCAATTTAATCAGAAATGCTTCCTTTCCTCTTACACCAACAAAGCATTTTTTTATCAATCACGATAATGCAATAAAACCATATATCTAGTAATTTGGGATACAGAACGCTCTTAAAAATACCATTAGCAAACACAATCTTAGTTACAGATACTGGATACGTTACTTATAGGTTTTTTTTTAAGTTGGCATGGTATGGTACCTTTTCTAAACTCCAAGTGTCTTGGATGTACACACTGAAATAAATTATTAATTAAGCATTAGATACTTTGTTGGCACTAGGCAAGATACTATTCATTATAAATGAAATCAATGTCTATGTCTGAAGTTAAAGAATCATTATTGTGACAGAGCCAACCCTGAAGATCCCGTCGTGCTTCATTCTATTTTAGTATCTTTTAGCCTATTTCTTACCTATGTGATTATGTAGTTATTGAGTTTTGTTAACAAAACCCCTAAGCTAGGTCAAGGGATAAACATCATAAATGTAACTAAGTAAAAGGTAGACCATATCATAAGTGCAGACATCACTCCTGGTTATCATACACTGAGGGGTGTGACAAAAGGGTCAGTATTTTTTGAGGACCACGAGGTGAGCAAATGTATGGACCTGAATGTCTGTTCTTCTGTCTTCCAGCCAACCTTTTCACATTCTATATGATCTGCTTCCGCAAATGTGGGATGTCCAACACAGCCATCATTTACCTGGGCTGTCTGGCCATCGTGGACACCTTCTATCTGGTGTGGGTGATCCTTCTTGATCTGACTCTCACCTTCTGGCTTCTGCAGCCCTTCTGGCACTCCCATCCCTGGTGTGGCATCTTGGCGTTCCTGCAGTATGGTTCACTCTGCAGCTCCTCCTGGATCGTGGTTGTGTTCACCATTGAGCGCTACCTCGTTCTACGCAGCACAGTGGCCAAGCAGCACTTCTCCCAGGCCTGGGTGACTAAACTGACGTGCGTTGCTATCGTCCTGGTTTCACATCTTGTCTCTGTGCCGCCGGCCTGGATCAACATTGTCGCGCCAGTCAACCTCTCCATGAACGGGGAGAATATGACGCTGCCTAGGTGCATATACCGCGATAAGGTGTACTCTACAGTTATTGTGTGGATAACCACCTTCCTCTCAGGGGGAATCCCCATCGTTTTGGTCATTATCTTCAACTACCTGATCGGGCACCATTTGTGCCGAGCCACGAACCTCTTCACCAAGGAAGAGCGCCGCGTCATGCACGGGAAGAGCACTAGGGGCATGTTGAAGAGGACCATCCTGGTGCTGGGCACCGTCTCTGTGGCCTTCGTCCTCCTCAGCCTGCCCCGCTTTGTCACGTACTGTATCCTCAGGACCATGTACAACGACGTGAACTTCGACAGGGACGACTACAGCCTCCCCATCAATGTGGCCGGAGACTTGGCCAACATGCTGCAGAACCTCAACTCCACCACCAACTTCTTGCTGTACTGCATGGTCAGCCGGCGCTTCCGGCGCGAGCTCGTCCAGGTGGCCACGTGCAAAGCGAGGGCCCTTGACCTCGGCTCTGTCCTCACCCACACCACCATGAAAGTCTTCTCAGTGATAGATCATAAGGCGTCGCCAACCAGTCGCCCTGCAACTGTGGTCCTAACCAATCTTAAACTCAGAGAGTAGAAAACATCTGGTAGATGTAGGCAAGTAGGCACAAAGATCAGACTTTTACCTTTAAGCATTAACGTTCACCCTTGACCATGGATATTATAGTTTGATTGAAATGAAGATAAATTACCACCAGATGAACATAGTTAGCTCTGTGTGTACTTATAGCACTGTTATTGCATGTAGTAACCGTCACTATGATGAGGCCATGTGAAGGCAATCACAGTATCAGTAAATGTGTTCATGGGTCCCAGAGGATGAATCCTGATCACTCTGGTGTTTCAGCTGATGTTTAGTCATGTGATACAGCATCCAACCCCAACGTCTTCACTCATCCAGTAAAATATATGGATTGTCACATACTTTCATACAGGCCTTCATGGTTTTCAGATTATATATATATTCATGGCCCTTTCTGTGACAATAATTGGAGGAAAATTTCAATGAATCAATTATTTGTAGGTTTGTGATGAAAAAACTGCTAAACTAATGACTCTGCCTCTGCTTTATTTTGGGTTCAGTGTTTAATAGCAAATGTTAGCATGCTAAGAGTGGTGAAAATAGTAAACGTTGATTTCTGCTTTACATCTGCAAGTGTGTTAGCACTATGACATGAGCATATCAAGCTAACTACAACCTCCCAGAGCTGCAAGCATGACTGAAATATAATATAAGTGAAATATTAAATGATTAATGTTTTTTTCCAAATAGAAATGTGTATACATATGAACTGTGCTGCAGTGCTCTTCATGTATTCCAACTATTAGACATGTTTTAATGTGTTGCTTGAAGACTTAAATGTCCTCTTTTCTAATGGCCGGATGTAAGTACAACCTGCCGCCTCTCAGAGTTACAGTTAGACCTGCCAGGGTACAGAACGCCTACCTGGCTGAAGAAAAAAAACAGGCCAGTTAATGCCCTGCATTATTTGCATAAATAGTCACGAGGCCTCTCTAATTTGCATAGTTGGAATACTTCCTGTTTCCCTCAGAACAGGTTTTTGCTGTGGATGAGGAATCAGCAGACCTAAGAGAAGGTAGGTGTGGACTACGGTGTTCTGCTTTATTCTCTACATGTAAATGTCAACAATAAAACACAGTTCAAAACGTTTTTAGTTTTGTGTCAAGGAGACATACTTGGCATACCTGTCGATCTGTGATCTTGACCTTTGTACTAGTTTGCAGCGATCGTGTTGGTGTGTTACACTCACGCCTAAAAGGTACATGTAGTGTGTCCCACCCATTAAGTGAAGAATGAGCCAGAATACTCTTCCTTAGGTGTTTACACTCAATCGTTTACTTTTATTTCCCATATTTACTCTTCAAGATGGGCATTTTCAATCGTGATCATGGTTTTTCTATTTATTTAAAAGTGTACTTTGAATCTCTCGGTTGAAACTACACTTTTCCCTCGGTTGGTTTCATGTAGGTTACTGTCTCTTTAAGTTGTCATGCTCTGTCTCATTTTCTCTTTACCAGAGGCAACACACACCTTCTTCCTCAGTATCAAAATGGATTCTTTTGAAGGTAAGAAAATACACCTCATCAGTCTCGCAGCGGCCATAAATCCTTCTGGATGATCACAATGTTTTTTCCGAGTGAAACCGATTTTTCCTCTTGCCTTTTGTCAGTAACGTGCCCTCATCCTGTTGAGACGGATGAGAGCATGACATCCTCTGGTCTGGACTTGGCCTGGCCTCTCTCTTGCAAACAGTGTAGTGGACGTACAGAGACCAGCCAGCGGAGGAGTAGCTATGGGCACAACAGGGGCGCGGCCCACAGTGCTGGCCAGTTGAGCTTCCCCGAGGGCCACCACCAGCAGGAACCTGGAGCAACCTGTCACGTTGCCCCCCACCCTTTTATTCACACCCATGCATGCCCGGGACAGAGCCAGCTCCCTGCAGGGGTTTGCCATTGTGATAGAGAGCAGGCGCTGTTGTGTGAACGGGATCACAGTAGAGGCTATGCTGAACCTTCAGACTGGCCCCAAAGTCCCTCTGTGGGCGAGGCAGAACCCTTGGAGGCCCCTTTTTCGCTCAAGTCTGAAGTTAACCACACCCACTATGTCTCATCACAAAACCTAGGAGCACGTATGAACGGTCAGTGTCAGTTTTGTAATATTATTGAAACATTACATTAATCCGTAACCTCATAAAGTTTACACAATGTAGTAACACAATGTTATGTTTGATTATTTAATCTGCTACAATTTGCCATACGAGACAAAGCTGAATAAACTTTGTGTGTGTGCGTGTGTGTGTGTGTGTGTGTGTGTGTGTGTGTGTGTGTGTGTGTGTGTGTGTGTGTGCTTGTCCCAAACTGTGAAAATGAATGAACAACATTAGTAAGAAGCTAGAATTCAGATGGCATCAGCAGTGGCTCTTAACCTTTTTTAATCCCCCCAGAAGAAGCAATTTGGTGTTTGCAAGTCTCTAGTTTTGTTAAGTTTGTAAAGCCACCACCTAGGTGTTGTCCAAAGTGCTGTAGGTTATGTGAATTTTTGATATAAAACTATTCCTTACCTCCGACCCGCAGGAAATTTGGAAAATAATTTTTTATTTTTTTTTAAAAAATCACTTAGTAAATCACTTGGGTGTCACAAACTAGTGTTTGAGAACCACTGGCCTCGAGCACTGGCTAATCTTCTGCACATATTATGTTGCATCCTCGTCCCAAATGCTATACTGTTCTGCAATCACTAGCCACAAGTTTTACCTTTAAATGTTCCACAAAGGAAATTGAACTGAGTTGGTATGTTAATGTATTTGTTTTTAGACATGCATGATCTCCGGACTAAAATACGGAGTTGGTGTGCAAAGGCCTTTGCTGTTATTGTTGGGGACATTTTAAAAAATTGTTATTCTCAAACACATATACACGCGTTGTGTGTCATCAGACGTTGTGTATATGTGTCATTTTCAGTGCCGTAAATGCCACAAAATGTAATTGAATTCACCTGCATTGCGTCGCTATTAAGGTAGAATTAAGACACAGGTATCTAAAAATCTCTAAAAGGTAAAACACAAATTTCTCTTGGAAGAGTTCCCACAATAGTACATTAAAGATTAAAGGCATAATGTATCGTATTTGGTGGCATCTAGCAGCATGGTTATGTATTTCAACCAACCATATACCCCTCCTATAGATACTCCTTTGCCACACAAACTGCAATCACTTGTGTTTATTGGTTATTAGTTAATTCTAACAAGAACGCTAAACCAAGACTTTAATTGTCTTTGCGAGAAAGTTAGCGTGCAGCCGGCGTCTCTAGTAAAGGCCAAGTCTCATCCTTTTATTTATCTATTTGTTTTTCTCGCTGTTAAATAGGTGTGCCTTAATGAGCTGATTACATTTGAATAGTTTGCTTTGTGTAGTCTTATGCCACTTATAGAGAGAGCACATCTATGTTCCCAGCCCCCCCGTGTTGACCAACTCAGTAGTCCCTTCATATGATGATATGATGACGGGTTTTTTTAACGTTTTTTTTGTGTATGCTCCCCTTTGTCAACATAACAACACATGCACCTGTAGCTTTTCACCTACTGATGTTCTACTGCCTTAAACCTGTTGTTGTTAACAATCTATTTTATATTACTGTTACAAAAGTAGTACAAAAACGAAAATGTCACGCCGAGCACTGATCTGGTAATCACTACATCTGTGTTGGATTTGGTTAAAAAGTCCACTCCCAACCCTGTTTCTGTTGAGTCTGCATGACCTCATTACTGCTGAATTGGAAACTTGGTAATCTGCTTCTCCTCTTTATCTCTCTGCAGTCCCCAACCCAATGCAGGGGCGTCATCTCAGACAGTGCGCGTGCTGCCCACCAGCAAACCAGCCCCGTCACAATAATTACACTCATCATACACGTGACTACCCAGCGGATTCGTGGGATGAGCCTCGGCGCTATCTGCAGTGAGGACGATTCCTGTCCTTGCCTGATGTTTTTTCACAGATGTCATGCATAAATTGGAGCATAAATTTCTAATGTTTACATCCCACAGGAACCCCGTCCCTCCAAATGTCCCGTATGGATCTGTGCCTAATCAGCGCGTGGGCCCTCCTAGAGAATTGATGCATGAGGTCAGCGTATACGGCTCCATACAGGCCTGTCCAGGGCCGGCAACGGGTGAGATCAGGAAGACCATCAGCCTGTCTGAGGAGTATAGTAAGTCTCGTCAGTGTCCCTGGACAAACCTGTGCTCTTTGTGTAATGACTTAAGTTAAGAGGGTTCACTGGTTTTGTGTTGCCAGGGAATGTCTTCATCACATATTCAGTGGACACAGCAGAAGAGATCATTCCTTTTACCAAATTTCTGACCGATCAAGGGTTCAAACCAGCCGTAAGTCTTCCCTTTCCTCTCTCGATGACTCTCCATACAAACACTCTCACTAACACGCGTGTCCGCTGACAGATTGACATCTTCGACAATCCGATCCGAAGAATGGGCATCAACAAATGGATGGACCGTTTTCTGAATGACGTAAGACTCCACATCGAGTGTGAATCCGATTTGTAGTTTTTTGCGAAAAGGCCAACAATGAGTTGTTGCTTCACAGAAATCGGTGCTCATCATCGTGGTCATCAGCCCCAAGTACAAGGAGGACGTGGAGGGGGACGGAGACGACGACCACGGCCTCCACACTAAGTACATTCACAATCAGGTGAGCGCTCACACGGCTGTCAGGACACCTGTCATCGGCAGAGGACTGTTGGAAATGTCCCTGCCTGGTGGCAGGTTTGTGTAGTTAAATGTGTGTGTTTGTTTGTGCACTTCTATCTGTTCATCTAAGGCCGATCTCACGTGCTTCTGGACCCATCCGCTAAATATTTTCTGTGCGCATTTCTAAAGGTGTGCTAAAGGTGTGGTTGCAGTTATTCAAGCTTACATTTAAAAAAAATATTAATATTCAACTGCTTTATACGGTAATTAAACACTGACTCCTTGCTACTCCTTACCCTTTCGGTACAGATCCAAAATGAGTTTATCCAACAAGGCTGCCTGAACTTCAGACTTGTACCTGTGTTGTTTCCAAACGCATCCAAGGCAAGTAACAAGCAATGCAACAGCAAACACACTCAAGGGCTTGGAGTAATGATAAAAGAAAACATCCAAACTACATGACTTTAAAGGCCTTCTTCACAGCAGCGGTTTCAACAGGTCACAGTTGCGCGTTTAGGTTTGAGCGCTCTAGTTCACGCTGCTGTCTCTGCTCTGTTTGCAGAGACATGTCCCCAACTGGCTCCAGAGCACCAGGATCTACCGCTGGCCATGGGACACCCAGGACCTGCTGCTGCGCCTCGTAAGGGAGGAGCGCTACATCATCCCACAACGGGGGGCCGACCTCACTATCACCGTCCGCCCCCTCTGAGAAAATCTGAAAGAACGACGGGCTCGTCTGGAAAATAAGCAACTTCAAGAGCAAATTGTTCATTTTGTGTCATGTGCCTCAATGAGAACTGTTACATGGCAGCAGATTGGTTGTTCAGTGTTTTCCTTTTGTCGCTTGTTGCCTTTTTCATTGGATGTATTATTCATTTTAAATTTTTCAATCTCACTACAATCCTTATATCGTTAGATAGAAAAGTTTTTCCGCAAGTTCTTGTCGCAACACTTTTTAAACGCATTTGTTTAACCCACACTTTTAATATGAAAATATTGAGGAGTGCAGCTTTAATTATAGAGAGCATAAAATAGAAGTTACAAATGCTAAAAGCCTTTTCCCTATTGCTGCTAGTTGCTTTTGTTGTAAAAGAGTTGACTTATATAACGTTTGGCTTTTTTTTTTGTCTTTCTCAAAATTACCAAACCTAGCTTTAATTTTAAATGTTATTTTGAAATCATCGTCACACACTTATTGATTTACTACTCTTCATGTTTTATTATTTAATTTGAACTTCATGCAGAATATAGTATAAAATAAAAATATGTCTAAATAAAATACATAATATGTACTTGTTTTTTTTATTTTTTTTTATTGTTGAATAGATGATAATAAACACTTTTAAATGCCTAGAATGGTTCCAGTGCCACACAGGAGGCTGCATGTTGTATTTCTTTGTAGAGACTAGGACTGCCCAGAAGGTGGAAGCATGTTCCAAATAATGACTCCAACCCTGTATTACCGCTTCATGGTAACAGCTCAAACTTCCATTCAACATTAGGTTGTGTTATTGATATTCTGTTTTCGTATTACTTTTGATTACTTTTACTTTTACTTACTTTTGTTTGTTTTAACCAAGGGTATTCTGAATGACAATTTTCATTGTGGCTATGTAAAAATGAAAATAAAGAAGGAGTTCTTGAGGGTCACATTGTGATAAAGGACCTGTTGATGCGGCACACAAAGCCCTGATGCTGAAACCTACCGTCCACGGGTTTAACACTTCCTCCCTACTTATTGTGTCCTTAACCTCCAGCTGCCACCTCTTCCACAGAACTTCATCATCAGTAGGCTTACACTGAAGAGCCATTCAGTCTACCAAACCTGTTGACATCTCATATCATGTGCTGGGAAGCACAAGGTTGGTGGTTCGAGTCCAGGCTGCCCCATGTTCCATGTCGAAGTGTCCCTGAGCAAGACACCTAAACCCTAATTGGTCCCCAGGCAAAAATGTGAAAAGCCATGGGTTTAAAGTATAACGTAAGTCGCTTTGGATAAAAGCGTCTGCTAAATGACCTGTAATGTAATGTAATATCAGCTCCCACAGGAGGGAGCTTGTCTCTAAACAAATCCACTTTGTTATTGTTCCAGGTCCTGCACGCCACTTGACTCGCCCTTATCTGGTGAGTCCACAAGAACAACACGCAGATATCCCGCCCTGTAAAAGCATGATCCAACTCTTCAGCTGCTGGTAAAAATACTCTCAACATCAGTTCATTTCTGCTTCTACAGTATATCCATGACGACAAGCATCAGTCATGATGGCATCGTAGACTGTGTAAACCATGAATCTGAGAATTTTTGTCCAACCCAGAAAAAAATAATTTTTACAAAATGTTGTTTTGGAATATTGCAGAAAATAAGTTTGGTGAGAATCCAACACTTTTTTGGCATGATATCCATCACAAATAAAGAGTGCTTTTACCATTGTTTTCTGAGAATTAACACAATCGCCAGAAGTAAAAAAAAAGCTAACGTCCGGCTACAAACCAACCAATACCAAAAACATGATGGTAGAAATGTTTGGTGTAAGTAAGTGACTGTAACTTATTCTTTAGGTTAAACTATTAGGTCATGCTGAATACACTGGGAGTTCTTCTGGAATCTAACAGTTAATGGGATAAGACACATGTGTACCCCTACTTAGTCTAAACTTGTGCTTTAAGCACTTACTTCAGGGAACACAGATGTGTAATTATTATTGAAGTGAGCATAAAATGTCCCTTCCACCACCTCAGAGCGAGGTTCTGCTCCCTCTGAGGACATCCAGACTAAAAATGCATGCGCTCAGTGTACCCGAAAGCACTTTAGACCAAACACTGCATTGAATATGGCATATATAATAATTCTGCACTAGTTTGGATGTTAAATACGTCCCTCGCATGCACTCGTAGACCGTGAGTGTGCTCGCCGACAAAGGTAAGCAGACGCCCACTGATTGGCTCATTAAGAGGGTCAGGCTCTCACCCAAGGTCAGCACACACTCAAGCAGACAGGTTCACCCATCAATCGAGATGACAAAATGCTAATGCGACATTTTTTATCCTGTCCCCGTCGTGAACCAGATCGAACCAGCTGTTTGCAGAAAAAGGTTATGGCTCCTTCAGCAGAAGAAGGAAAGCCCAGCACGACTGCTGACCCGCCATGTATGGACCATTATAGGAAGCTGAGCGGAATACTGAGCAGGGCGGAGACATTTGTAGGAGGCTTTACCCCAGGTGGGAGGGGTAAAGGAAACAAACTGTGCTCTGGAGGTTCTGAAAGATTGAGAAAAGCTAAAGTTATGGCTGCCAAGGCCTTCAGTGAACGTCTGCCCTTAATGTGGTGATTGCTTTTAATCCTAAATGAAACACGTGTCTTTTGGGGGTCTTCGGATCTTTAGGTGGAGATATATATGGCATGTGCTGATGATCTATAAGTGGTGTGCATAGCGAGAAGATGGAAACAGAAAGATTCATTTCATCAAGTGTCTCTAGTCATTAATCCGTAATGAATGTTGTGCTTTGGTTTAATATAAGGGCTGATAGCATTAAAATGGAGGTAGATGATGACCATTCCAATGGATGTATTCTTGGATAGGTTTTCTCCCCCATTCCCCAATCACAGGAAACACATCAACCAATGAGAAACGTGCTCCTTACCAATGGGAAAATTATGCTTTCCAGCTCGATGATCTGATCCTTGTGTTGCTGCAGTGGCAAACGAGATAAAGCTAGTCAAGCTTCACAGCGAGTCCCGCAATGCTCCTTCCCCCTGGAAGCTCATTTAGTTACAAAATAAAGGTCCACCAAGGACATCAGTTTGAAACTGTAACTAGCTTGAAGTTAAATTAGTTTTGAGTGTTAAAATGAACCTATCAGACATATACAAAGGAATAAAAACGTACCCTTTCTTAAAATCTCCTCTTTTGTATCATATTACATAAATAAGAAGTTAGGTATGAGCCAAATCCCACTGAGCAAGTTGAAATGGATACAAAGCAAGCTCTTCGCGTAATTTAATGGATACTGAGGGGAGTGTCTTCTTTTCCATGACCAACCAGTTGTGTGATTATGCTTATGTACGTATAGGGCTGTGGGGTTTTTGTATTCATAGTATGGAGCTTCATGTTTCACCCCAATTTTCTCTTCAGTGAACATTTGCCCAATCCTTTCAATTCAGTCTTGAATTCAGTCTGAACAATTCAAACAATTAATTACAAACAGATGTGCATTTCAAAATGTCAAATTTCTTTTTTGTAATTTTGTCACCTGGATTTGCAGTAATTGCATCTTAGTATCTGTATTGCGACAGTTAGGCACTAAACCATCAATTACAAATGATTGTACGAGAATTGTGGAAAAACCTGCAACCGGAGCGTTTCTAAGATTCAAAGCATGGCATGTTTCCATATATATATACATATATATATATATATATATATACATATATATATATACATATATATATATATATATATATATTATTATATATATATAATAATATATATATATATATATAATAATATATATATATATATATATATATATATATATATATATGTATATATATATGGAAACATGCCATGCTTTGAATCTTAGAAACGCTCCGGTTGCAGGTTTTTCCACAATTCTCGTACAATCATTTATAATATATATATATATATTAACATACATACATACACACACATATATATGTAGCATGTTAGAGTTTTAAATATGTCCATGTAAGAAACAATTGTTTAATTTAATAAGATTTAATAATATATGAATAAAAAAGGATTTTATTTTTCTGAAAGACAATAATGCCAAATTATTTGGCAGAAGAACATTTTATACCTGCAACCTGTGAATCTGAATGAGTATTTCAGTTTTATGGTTTAGCTTCGTATACTATTATTTTGAAATATCAATATCATTCAATTGCGGATAATACTGATCAAGCAAAGTCGTTTTTTTCCTTGCACCGTTTACAGCAGAAGGGTGTATGAGGACAACACCAAAAACAATATGTAATCCGCCGTAATATTTCGAAGGAAGACATGCAAGACGAGTATGAATCGTCTACTTCTGGAGAAAATGTCACTGTACTAACGTTCTAGTTGCTAGCCGGCTAGGCAGCTGATCAAATCAGCGATACCTCCCAGATCTATAACTGGCGGCCGTAAATAAATGTGTCAGGGTTGAGCCTACCAAAATAAGACTTCCTTCTTAGTTCTGCGTGTGCTTGTTGAATTACAACAAGCATGACTCTACGACGCTGCTGTTATTTTGAAAAACCTATTCGGAAGTACTATTCTTGCGCTTTCAGACCGGCTTACCTCCCCTCATATGTTAGCTAACGGGGGCTAGCCTGTTATGGAAGACGAGGGAGCACATCAGAGGGTCTGTCTGACAAAACGGGACTGGCTAGTTCTGAGGCGTGATTTAGAAAGATAACACTACACCCCGGAACCGTCTTCCTGGCTGATAAACAAAAACACCATAGTGAGAGATTAAAAAACTTACAACAGTACAACATGGACCTGGCGACTGCGGAGCGTCCGCTGATCAGTCGCCGCCGTCGAGTGTAGCTCTCCCCGGCCGCGGCTGAACCTCAGCGGCGGCACTTCGGGGCGCCCTGGAGCCGCGGGAATTTTTGTCCACGCCTTTTATATGGGATACGACCGGGCTTCCCCTCTGCTTTGTCCTTGTTTCCCAGCCGTGACAGCGCTCCCTCTCGGCTGCTGTCGACTGGCCGCAGCGGCGCCCGCGTCGCATGGACTCCTACCGGTAGTTTTGCGGGCTATTCCGGCGGGTCTTTCCTCTCCTCCGGGTGGACGCGACAGTCATGTTCGCCGTGCGTATCGTCACCGCAGACTACTATCTAGCGAGTCCGATTAAAGACCTGGATGTCTGCTACTCTGAATTCAGGGAGAGCGGCGTGAAGAAAGTGCCGGTGGTCCGTATATTTGGAGCAACACCTGCAGGTTAGCCAACTCGTCTGTGCATTTTCTACGTCTGTGCGTTTGTGTGTTTCTTTTTCATAATTACACGTAGCTAATGGTGGCTGTGCCCCTGGCAGCACGCGGCATTTTAAGCGTGTAACCCCCCCTTGCTGTTTGGACACGCACGCGTGCGCACACTCGTATTGTTTAGGGGAAACCGAATGAGTCTAGTATGAAAAATGTTAACAGGAAGATGATGTAGGGTGTCGACACATTGTGTTAACGCGGTCTGCACCGCTGCGAAGGGAGTTCTTCCTCTTCTCCTCTTCCTCCTCACACGGCTCTGCTTTGTTTTCGCTTCCCGGCTCATTGGTGGTGGAGGTGGCGGCTCCGGTCTGTGAGAGCTTGTCTCTACCTGCCACATGTGGCATTCAGGGATATATGTAGAACTCTTTTTATTCGGCTTCTATTGTTTATAGCAACCTGTGGAGTGTGGACAGTCTAGACCGCATCAAGCTGCCTCATCTTTTAGCTTCGTTTTATTATTTCATTTTATCAGTGCAATACAAGTTAAGCGACAATGATTTAAAAAGAAAACCGCAGCGAATAAGGGAGTGATGAGTGAGAGACATTAGCGGTTGAACAAATGGTGTGATACAGAGGTCCAGATGCATATTTGGGTTCCGAAAAGGCAACATGGTGTTGATTATGTGCTACGGAAAAAATGACGGACATCATCGCTTCACATTAATATGCAGGATTTAACAATAGGATACAAGCTGTACACAATCAAAGAACCCTTCGCTGTGTAGAAATTAATGTGGAGTGCATATTGACAGCACAAGCCCAGACAACACCTTTTTTATATGGACAGTTACTGGTGTCAAATAATATAATGCACATACTGGAAAACAATTGTGTTTTGCTTTGAGATTTGCCACATGCCCCTGCTCTCTAATAAACCCATTACAGCCGAGCACTGTGGGCACCTTAATCCCCACGGCGCTAAACAATGGAATCATTTCCTGCACAATGGCACGGTATTAAAACCCAGCCAAATCCTCCTGTGCCTGCCGTGCTCTCGCCTGCATGCTGTTTGTCGGCTGAAAACACCATTGCAGTGCAGTGACCGTGTGATTTTTTTTTTCGTTAGCAGGGCTTGCCGGTCACCTAGTCAGGGGAAAACTGGGGGGACATAGTTCCCCCCCACCCTCCTTCAGGGCTGTGGCGGAGCCCCCCTCCCGGGACGACCCGTAGCAGCGTTCAACAGTTCAATGGGGATTAAAAGATTTGGAGCAGGGAAATGAAGGGGCTGTGGGTCAGTGTAAGGGTGTCAGGTCTAGTCTGGTTCCTTCATAAACCTGCACGTCTGCATACGGTCTTGTGAATATGACGGGGCTGCACACAGTCACTTACACACACACACACACACACATTGCAGCAGAGGCATTTGAGGTATCTTGTCAGTCAACCCGAATAAACCCAGTGAACACGTCACAGCATTTAAGGCTCTCGGGTCTGAAGAAATTCAACCCCAAAGTATGGTTTTATATTTTTGTCATTTCAAGTGTTTGATGAGAGATGTTGTTTGTAATGATTCACGTGGTCCCATTTGGTCAGTTCCTAATTCCAACAATTGTCTAAATCCTAAATCATCATCAAGCTGTTTTTTGGTTTTGTCATCTGAAATGTGGGGATTTGGTGTCTTTCTTTGCGTGTTATCAAATTGAAGACATTTATTTTGGACAGTTCGGACAAAATAAAACAATTAGTCGCTTTTGGGAATTTGTAATGCAATTATAAGCTGAAACCGAAATGTCTGCAATTTTCCTATAAAGGACATTTCATGATTATGATCATTTGATGGTATAAATTGTGTGCCATCAGATATTTGGTTAATATCAACATCATTTCAGCCACTAACCTAGTAGTGAGTGTTGTTTCTTTGTTCTAAATGCGGTTTGAAGCAGTTTGTGTTGCAGTAATGAGAAAAGTGTGTGTGCCGTGGCGGTTACTCTCGCAGGTTTGCATTTTATTATTTTTTTTACTTGCTCGGCAGGCCGGAGTCCCGAGCTAGCTCTGCGTTTCCAGAAATACAATTACATCACCATCTGGAATGCATTGAGACGTGAGAGAGAGGCATACTTTTTTTCTCTTTTCTTTCTTTCTCTGGAGCTCATGAACAGACCACACCCACGCTAAAGGAGCTACTTTTACAATATTTCTCATTGTCCCGTGCAGGGATTTCTAATGTACGCCCCAAAGGAGGAACTTGCGAGTGGCTCTGCTTAATGTGTGTCTGCTTTTATCTCATCAATGCGTTCAACCCGATGCAGCGCATCTGCGCCATGTGGCTCTGCTCAGGCTGCAACCCCAGGCCTCATAGTCTCTGTCCTTCCCTGACCCAAGCCATGCACACTCCCACCAATCAGCCCTGTGTAATTCAATGCCACGCTTCCTGCCCCCACCCCCCTTCCACCAACCTCTCCTCTCATTGTTAGCATTCATTGGCTGGCTTGCCCTGTGCTGCACACTGCATGCATTCTACTCTCCAATACGGCAGGGGGGGGGGCGGCGGCGGATGATCTCTTTGTTGTGAAAATTGTAATTGTGATCTGCATCTAATAACCGGCTGTATTTTCCTGGTTGTGGTTGAACAATCTCTGAGGGATTCTGAGGGACCTTTTAGAGGCCCTTTTTTTCACACAAGCGTTGCGGGTGAGGTGGCTGCAACATTTTGAGGTTTTTTGAGGGCCGTCTCCCTCTCGCATTCCTCCCGTATCCATTAATAGGATAATGGGCAGATTCAAAAGGACTCAGTGGCTCATTAGGCAGATCATCGTCCCCTTTACTGTTTACTTCTGCTGCTCCGGCGGCCTCCTGTCATGCTGGGACCAAATGACATGTTGATTTGCTGAAATTGTGTCTTTGATTTGCTAAATGTTTCAAATTATTTTTTTTAATTGAAATATATAAGTGTATATTCAGGGAGTTTTGGGTGTATTCCGACGTGTGTTTTACTACTTGTGGGTCTACCAGGCGAAGGGCACAGCCTTGTTACCGATCAAGGAGCCACACATAGAGAGACCGACTCACTGCTCTACGCTAATCCTCACCCTGTGATGTTTTTGCACACAGAAAGAGGCTCAGCTTCTTATCAAAAGGTGTTACGGGACTTTGAGGCTTCCCTTTTTATAAGAAGTTGGTCAGAGAAGGCAGAGGACACGAGAAGAGGGGCTGTTCCTGCTTTAATAACATATTTACTGACCACTCCATTTTACCTGCAGTTCTGAGATTTCAAATGTTATTTATGGGTTTGTTTAAAGTGTCGTTCCCAGTCATCCAAACCCACCACAGAAGGGTACAATCACAGCCAGAACATAGTCCAACCCAATTGCAGTCACAGTGTACATATTACTCAACATGTACTTGTGTACATTGTGTATGATTGACCGCTACAGTTTTAAAGCTACAGACTAGCCATCAGCATTGCAGACAATCACATCTATTGTGGCCACCGACTGTTCAGCATCCTGGATCAGCATCCTCAGGCATTTGCTCAGTAGATCGCAAGCACTTGGCGCCGGGCAGCAGGATTAGCACCTGAGGTGCTGGCAACTGTACCATTTACAGCAAATCTCCCTGCTGCGGCGGGCCAACCTCAGGTGGTAGTCAGAGGCACAGGGGCTTTAGCAAAAAGTAACCAAAGGTGATGTATTTGCCCCCAATGCTGATTCATCCATAATCAGCCAGGTGAGCAATTATCTCACGTCTATACTGTGGATCCACCAAGAATTTGCTAATTTGTTGTGTTCTCAATGGTTGTCAAACTGAATGAATTTTGTGAATGCAATGCTGCAAGCAATTGCCAGCAACCTGATTGCAATGCAAACCTTTAATCTAACCTGCTCATTGTTGCGGCTTTATTATCCAGGATTTGAAACCAATCCATTGAGCGGATGGAAAAGCTTGTTGAGTTTCTCACCCCGCTCTCATCTGCCGTTGTTTCCTGTTCTCAGTCATCTTCCTCAACCTCCATATTAATTGCCGCCAAAGATTTGAATGTGGGACTGGGTTTAGTTTACTTAGGCCCAATTCCACTGCAGACAAGGACTTAATTGTGACAAGTAAAGGAATCCCTCCTCAGTTTAAATGCTTTGGGATTTTGATTTTGACGCGACCGACAAATTGGTGACACTCGGCCTGGTTGGTTTACGCCATAAAATCGCCACATCCCAAACGCTGTGGCCACGTTTTGTGGTTTATGAGAATAGACGAGGTCTCTGAAGCCAGCACAAGCTTCCTTTTGTCTGAAGGAGCTGCAAGTTCACATCAGCTGCCCCAGTGTCCTTGCTGCTGCTGCAGTTGGTATGATTGATGGCTATAATAGCTCCCTCAGGCTCTTTGGTGGGTATCCAAAGGCGCAACCAGCCTGACACTGCAGCAGTCCTCGTCTCAATGTGTTTCCTGTCACCGTCAGGTGCGTCGGGTGACCTCAAGTTAACTGTGTTGGGTAGCACACCCCGCCGGAAATTGCTAAAATTTGATTATTAAAAGTGCTGGCAACAAATTTCATTATCGATTCGTTGTGTCGGGCGATTATTACGTCACTCAATGAGTTGCAGTGATGCGCGCAGAGCAAAAAAACGCTTCGGTTCGGCGCGGAGTTGACGTGGAGGAAAGAGCAGAGAGATGAATCGAAGTCCAATTATTTTTTTTTGCGTGAGAAATTGGATGTGTGGGGGGAGTGCGTTACTGAAGACCGAAATGAGTGACTGTCACGCTCAATCCGTGACACGTGAGAGCCCTGAAAGTGTTTCAATGGCAAAATATGCAAAGTCGACGTAACCTGGCACGGGAGCACCACGTTGTCCCGTTTTGAAGTGAGGAACGTAAGGAGCCTCCTGTTTACTCGTCATCCAGCTGATCAAGCTAGCGTTACCTTGCTAATAACAGCAGTAAAGCAGTTAGCAAGACTAAGACACGTTTTTATTTACTCGCCTCTTTTGGACCATTCCTTTTTCAGTCTGTTGTCTTGTATT